TGAAGGAGACTGTGGGAGCCTCGTTTCTTCCTTTCTCTTTCCAGCCATGGGGCCTTTGCCACCTGCTCCCACCAGGATGCCATCTCATGATGCCAACATGGAGCCAAAAGCTTGACTGACCTTGAACCGAAACCTTCAAGTTGTGAGCCAAATTTAACCTCCTCTTTTTTTAAAGTTAAATTTCACACTTATTTTTCACAGCTGCATGATATTCCGACCAAAGAGAAAAGTATCGTACTTTATTATTGAATAATTATAGTGATCTTTAAGTTTCTGACAATGTAACAGGACATTGACAGAATTTCTCTGAACTCACTCCCTGCCCACAAAGAACCATGTTTGGCCTTTATGGGTCCCTTTCTTCAAAACCAAAGACCAAATCCTGTTTTTGAGACTATATTGGTACAAAGACAAATATAATCTGCTCTAAACTTCCAAGTGTATATTCATTGATATTCTATTTTTTATCGTGTGTGTGTGTTGGGCACATGTATGTATGCATGAATGTGTGTGTCAGTGTGACAGAATATGTCAGTGTGTGTGTATAGTATGCCGGAGTTTATAAACGTGTAATCAGTGAGACAGGGGGCCGGTACCTGCGTGAGTGTAAATGAATACCTGTGTGTGAGCGAGTGTGAATGAGAACGGCCCCTATTGGCTCATATGTTTGAATACCCAACTGTTAGAACTATTTGGGAAGGTTTAGGAGGCGTGGCCTTATTGGAGGAGGCATGCCAGTGGGGGGAAGGCTTTGAGGTTTCAAAAGGCTCGTGCCATGAGGACTCCAGCCATTCCCAATGTGCTCTCTGCTTCCTGTTTGTGGATCCAGATGTGAGCTCTCAGCTACTTCTCCGGTGCCTGCCTGCCTGCCTGTTGCCATAATCCCCACCTTGATGCTCACGGGCTCTAGCCATCTGAAACCCTAAACCCCAAATAAGCTTTTCTGTAAGTTGCCTTGCTCATAGTATTTTGCCAGAGCAATAAAAAAATAAATACAGTGAGTGGGTGTAGGAGAGTGTCAGCCATGAAAGTGTGTGTGTGTGTGTGTGTGTGTGTGTGTGTGTGTGTGTTTTACTGGAAACTCATGTCTTTCCACAGCCTAAGTAAATGTTCTACCATTGAGCAACATACCCAGCTCCTCTTTAGATGTTTAGAAGAAACCAGGCTGCAAATCTAACAGTTCGGCTTCTGCAGCCACCAGGCTATGTCATATACCGTGAATTATCTACTAAAGAAGAGGCCCAGGCAGCACGCACTCAGGCAGGCAGCCTGCCACCCTAGATCCCACACTGGCTTCCAGATGTCTTGGTGAAGGGTACCTCCCCTGTGGCAGAGCAGAGGTGGCTTGACAGTGGTTAGCCATTCACTTCCCAGGAGGAGCCTTGTTCTGTAGCCTTTGCCAATTCCCATGGTGTGAAATAACCCGCAGTCACTTTTAAGTTATTGCTCTGCCACCCTGGATAAAACAGGGAAGAGGGAAGTGGGTATGTTTCCACTGCACCCATATGGCACTGGTCAGCATGAAATTACCTCAGGCGCACACACAGAAAGCAGTCAGATAACTGGGAAGCCATTTCAACATTTGCTGCTTTTGTTTTTAATGTACGTAGCTCATGGGATGGTTTGAATGAGAATGATTCCCATAGGGTCATATATTTGAATGTTTGGTGGTCCCGAGTTGGTGGAACTGTTTGGAAGGATTAGGAGGTGTGGTTTCATTGGAAGAGGCGTGGCTTCCTTGGGGCAGGTGTGCCACCGGTGCTGGGCTTTGAGTTTTCAAAAGCTCACGCCATTCCCAGTTAGCTACCTCGCGCCTGTAGATCAGGATGTAAATGCTCAGCTACTTCACCAGTGCCATACCAGCCTGCTGCCATGATGATCATTGATTTTAGCCCTCTGGAACCATGAGCCCCAATACACTCCTGTATAAGTTGCCTTGGTCACGTATCTCTTCCCAGCACTAGAAAAGTAAGACACTTCACAGGAGGTAGAGGTTTTTATCATTTAATAACGCTGTATTTGGCAACTGGCTCACAAAAATTCCTAAAAGCTTGACGATCAACTCTTGTACCCTGATACTCTATCATCCAGCACACTATACTGGTAGTGAAGGGGGAACTGGAGCCTAGGCAAGCACAGGAAACTACATTTCCCAGAAGCCTCCTCTCTTAGGGCCTGCCCTCTGTTGTTACCATGGAGACGACTAACAGATAGTAAGGCTGTGTTCCTAGAGGGTAAGGAGGGAAGCTGGGGCCTGGGAATGGCTGGACCACTTGAGCTAGGGAGTAGGAGAAACTGGGGGTGCAGTTTCTTCGTAGGGCCGTCCAGCCCTGGCCTGTCTAGTGAAAGCTTGGGTAGGGCTGTTTTGTGGGAGGAGAAGGCTGATGCTGGGAAGAAGCTCCAGGGAGGACACTGTGGACCAGACAGTGGCTGAGGAGGTAGCTTGTGTGGAAAGTAGTGTTACAGAGCTGGACCCCAACCCACTCTGATGACCCAGTCTGTGACCTTGAGCCCCAGCTGGAACTGGCTTGCCCACTGACACCTTGGCTGTCATGTTCACTTTCTATCATGTTTCTTTCCTTGCTCCCCATCCCCCACCCCTTCCCTTCCATGGCTCCCCTATCTTACATGGGTTCCAGTCAAAGATCTATTCTCAGCTAGCTGTAGCTAGGGTGATTCTCTTAGGCTCTCTAGTCCTTGCTTTTCTCACCTGTAGAATGGGTCTCATAGGACTAACTACATCAGAGTAAGTTAAGGATAAAGGATATGATTTTTGTATAGCCCCAGACCTTGACACACAACAGGTGTCCAGTGAGCTGTGAATACCTTAGAAAGGTACTACCCGCTCCCTGGTTGTCTCATCTGTGACCAAGAGGCAGGCAAGGGCTTTGAAAAAACAGACCATGCTACTGGGTTGGAGGTCTGTCCCCAGGGAACAGGAGTCCTGAGTGGGCCTGCTGGACCCAAGGCCTCAGCTAAGACTCAGGCAGACTGACATCTAGCCATAGGCAACCAGCCTTCCAGAGCCCAGGAACGTTGGAATTGAGCTGGTACTGTCTGCCCCCCTTCCACACTGCAGGAGGGGAAATTGGAGCCAGAAAGGTGTGGAGAGTGGCCTGTGAGCCCCAGGAAGAGCTGCTAGCTGAGCCAAAAAGAATAGGGGAGACTCCCTACCCCGCCCTGAGGCTCTCTGTCCTGGCAGCCCCTTTCCTCCTCTGCAAGAGTCTGTGGCAGCTGAGTAGGGGAGGAGTGGGGAAGCAGGGCCAGCCTTTGCTCCGCCCCACCCCTCCTCACTCTGCAGTGCTGGAGATGGAACTCCTGCACACCGATCACACACACCACCATGAGACCACATCCCAGCCCACAACCCCGCCCCTGCCTGGTCCCCTTTGCTCCTTAGTCTGACTCCTCTCTTGGAGTTGAGGATGAATCTGGCTCCCTGCTCCTTTCTCTCTCATCCTCACTCCTGTCCTGCCTGCACCACTTCCTGTGGGTTGGCGGGGGGGAGGGGGGGGATGCTCTGTTGACTAAGAGTAGAGCTGAAAGGTGAGTAGAGGAAAGGCCTGAGCTAAGGCAGAGGACAGGCAGGTGGAGGGGTGTTGGGTGGCATGAAACGGACCAAGCAGAGGCCATGTCTTCACATGTGTTGGAAGTCTGGGGGTGGTACCAGGCATGCCTGGAAACCTGACTCTCACTCTCCCTTTGTCCTTAGCAGGCAGCCTTGGTACTCCCGCGTGGCCTTTCCCAATGACTGCCCCACCTCCCCCTTGGTGTGTATGTCCCAAACATAGAACTAAGGCTGTGTCCTTGCTGTCCTCTGCCCTCTAATGTCCCCTCTTCTCACATCTCACTTGCCAGAACTGGGCCATGTCCCCACCAAGACTTCATCGGCAGAACACTTCAAACCTGGTACATTGCAGTCCCAATTCAAAGCTGGGGCTCTTGTGGTGTGGGAAGGGGGACAGATCTTTGGGTTGGTGACAGTGGACCTTAGTGAGGCCTTGCTCTGTGGATGCACACATGGCATCTCAGTGTGTGTCACAGGATGGTGACCATCTTCTGGGCTGTCAGCCCCCGCCATGCCTTAGTGCTAAATCTGCCATTTAAAAAGTTAGTCTTAAATTGTGTGTATATGTCTGTGTGTGTGTGTTTGTATGTGTCTGTGTGTATATGTGTGTTTGTGTCTGTTTTGCCCGCATTATGTATACAGCATGCATGCAGCACCCATGGCATACAGAAGAAAGCATCGTATCTCCTGCGATTGGAGTTACAGATGGTTGTGAGCTGCCATGCCTGTTCTGAGAACCAAACCCAGGTCCTCTGGAAGAGCAATGAGTGTTCTTGTCTGCTGAGCCACCTCTTCAGCCCTGTTACCTCTGCCCTCACAAATCATGCCTCAGTTTCCAGTTCTGTGAGACGAGATTTCATGTACCTGCTATTTTGTGGGTCTTGTTTCTGTTTTGCCTTGCTACTCTGAATAACTTCCTTTGATCCAGGCGACTTACTGGACTACATCAATATACCTGAATAGGAAACTATATATTCAGCAGTCACTGTGACATCAGTGTCATCTGCCACAAAGAGAAGGTGGCTGCTAAAGCCACATTAGTAACTTTAGGAAACCTGACACTAACTTTGATGTTTGTTCAGAAGCGGCTTGGCTATGTAACCCAGGCTAGCCTAGCATTTAAAAAACCCCTGCTTCATCCTCAAGTGCTGTGATTACAGGCATGCATTACTGTGTACAAATCCTTGTCTTCGTTTTGAGGTAGAGTTGTAGTAGAAGGTATTAGAGATGAGCTAGCACCAAACGAAGACGTCCCCCCTGGTGGAAGGGATGTTCCTTCCACCCTGTTCTTCCCTGTGAGGAGAAAGCACCTCCAGCCACTCTGAATGCATGAATGGTCTCAGTCACTTCTTTCTGGCTGACAATGGCCATTCTGAGCATACCTGCTTTTCCCTGCAGAGATATTCATCTCTAGCTATCCAGAGATATCAGGATGGAGGTCCTGAGAGAGAAAGTGGAGGAGGAGGAGGCGGCCGAACGTGAGGAAGCTGCTGAAAGGGCAGACTGGGCTGAAAAGATGGAGAAGCTGAAGCCAGCGAGCAAAGAGGGAACCATCCTGACACAGGAGGAACTGCAAGACTTGGAGAAACAGCTAGCAGCCATCCGGGTCCCAACCTCTTCCGAGATGTGAGTGTCGGGCCAGGGGTTTTCTACCCAGCAGCCCCGGCACAGTCAGAAAGGGCCAGGCACAGGAAGGACCAAGGCAGAATGGTGGCACCTGGACAAGGAGGGTAGCCATAGAGGGATGCAGTTCAGCTTCAGGTTCTGCTTCCAAAGGGCTCACCTTTCCCCTAGCTGCATGATCCAGGGAAGGCCTTCAACCTTTTGCAGCCTCCATTACTTTGTCTGTGTAAAAGTGAGATTGTGAGTCATGATACTGTCTCCATGTAGCTGTGAGGGTCAAATGAAGGAAAGGCAAAAGGCAAAGGCTGCCCGTACGCTTTTGGGGAGAGGGGTGCCAAGCATGGCCTCACTCAGATCATTGCTATCCCTGCTGGGACACAGGATCATAAACAAGGCCCTCATCGATATCACCAAGCTGCCCCCTTCCTACACCTCCAACTCGCCCAAGGAGGAGCACCTGCTGCAGGTGGCAGAAAACTTCTCCCGCCAGTACAGCCACCTGTGCCCAGACCGCGTGCCTCTCTTCTTGCACCCGCTAAATGAGTGCGAAGTGCCTGTAAGCCTGGGCCTTGGAAGGCAGGGCCAGAGCAGGGGCAGAGGGTGGAAGGGTGGGGCATGCCCGGGTCTCTAGGTTCTCTACCTTTTCTGGGTCAAGTCACAGCTGTGCTGTGGCTCATCTCTGGCCTGTCAGGGGCTGGAGGAGTGTATACACTACTGCAGGGGAATGCAGGCCTGGGATCTGATTTGGAAGCTAGGGGGTGGGGGAGCCCAGGGCCTGACACATGGCAGACCAGCACCCTGCCTCTGAGCCACACCCCCAGCCTTCTTTTCAGTCTTGAGTGAAACCAGGGTGTCACTATGCAGCCAAGGCTGGCCTACGCTAAGAGACCTCCAATGCCTGAGTGGAATGGTCCTGTGTATGGGACTGTATAGACGGGGGGAAACAGAGGTCCGTTGAGCCTCAGGGAGATGCCTGGGGCCATGTAGAGGGAAGCAAGAAATCAGTGCCAGGGTTCAGGGCCTCCTCTGCCCGACTCTGCCCTGTTGCTTTGCCCCTCCCATGATGGGTTGGCACCTGAAACTGGAGACCACCCTGGCCACCAGCCACCCCTGTCCAGAACCTCTGAAGGCTCCGCAAGGGCCGCAAGCTGTTGGGACATCCAACAGGACATTCCTTTAGTCCTTTCTCATTGAGTGACCTTAGACAATTTGCTTGGCCTCGCTGAACTTGAGAGGGCTTTCCCCCAGTCTTTCCAGCCCAGATGTGGATAAGCTAGCGATGTGAATGGGTGCCTCTCAGCCATTGCCACCACTACACTGGCCAATGCCAGACCTTCCCAAGCAGGAGACCAGTCTACCACCCTGTGATCTGGGCCTCTTCAGGGTTCCCCTGAGAATTTGAGGAAAGAGGCTGGGCCAGCCAGGCACAGGTGCTCACAGGTCTCTGCTACACACGGTCCCTGGCACAATCTCTTAATTCGCAGAAGTTCGTGAGCACAACGCTGAGACCTACGCTGATGCCCTACCCTGAACTCTACAACTGGGATGGCTGCGCCCAGTTTGTGTCTGACTTCCTCACCATGGTTCCTCTGTCTGACCCACTCAAGCCGGTAAGCACTACCCCCTGGTCACATGGGATAAGCCCAGCAGGCCTAATGCAAGTCTGGACCATAGAAGCTCAGCCAGGCTCTAGCCTTCTGAGACACCTGTAGGGGAAAAAGACACAGAGAGGCAACCAACAGCTGGCCTAAGGGAACACAGCAAACCTGGTCTCTCATCTGCTGGATTCTGCCGCAGTGTCCCTTTATTTCTAATTTCAGGAGGTGTATAGCAAATTACTAGGGGATACCAACCTGCCTATAGCCTTTCGCCCCATCTTTGGGCTTCTGAAAGGTTTGGTCAGCTTTTCATTGAGAATGGAAGGAGACAAGGAAGTGGCTAACCAAGCATTGATAGAAGAGTGGAAAGGATGGGGGGGAGAGCATTGGAGGAGAGCCCACCAGTTGCTTAAAATGACAGATGCGTGTGGGTTGCATGGTTTGTGTCATGTCCTCAAGAGCCTCCCAAAGCAGCGGGGTCCCTACCCCTACAGGTGGGTGGTGAGTGGCAAGAGGCCTGCTTGAACTAATAGATGTCCTGTGCTCAGCCCACACACCTCTATTCCTCCACCACCGTGCTCAAGCTCCAGAAGGGGAACTGCTTCGACTCCAGCACCCTGCTCTGCTCCATGCTCATTGGCTCTGGCTACGACGCCTACTGCGTCAATGGCTATGGCTCACTGGACCTGTGCCTCATGGACCTGACAAGGGAAGTGTGTCCACTCACCTTGAAGGCCAAGGAGGTATGCCTGATACATGGTAGCCCAGAGAGTGCCCAGTCCCGGGGCTGCCTATCTATCTTAGGAGATCAGGGCCCTGCCCTGGCCATCTTTAGAGAAGCGAGTTCCCATGCAGGCTGTCCTTATACTTACATGTTCCTGCGCCGTCACCATTCATCCTCTGTTGCTCCAGACCCCCTGTTTCAAATCCTTGGTGATTGCTCTGTCCTCAGCACCACCCACTGCCCAGTTCTCCAAAGGGCCGTCCCTCTTGCCTTGCCCTAGCTCAGCTTAAGACATGGTGCTTCCACTGGGCAAAGTTGATGGCTCACGTGGTTTCTGCCTTATATCCAGCTATCACAAGTTTACCCGCCACCCCTCGCATCTGATAAAAGCCCGTCTGGTTGTTTTAATGGTGGGAAACAGTGGCCAAAGGAGTGCTTAATTCTAGGCCTCCTCCCACTCAGCTAAACACACACGCTCAAAAGCACACACACCAAGAACCTCCACTGTGATGGGCAAGCATGCTGGTCTGAGTTCTATCCCCAGCCCATTTAGCGTGAAAAAGTAACCCCTACCCACAACGAGCGATGGTTGAGTTTTCCGTCTGCTCATTAAGAACTCCGTGATCACCAGAGTTTCTGCAAACAAAAGAAGCACTTTTCAAATTTAAAACTGTTAAAGTTTAGTATAGGAAGTACTGCGCGTAAGTGTGGTTATGCTTGTGGGGAATAGAGGCATTTTATGTGTATGTTTCATGCCAGAATCACGCATACCCGCCCCCCAAATCTCTTCACACTTGGAAAAAACACCATGCTGTGCACAGAAAGAGCTTTCCACACCCTGGGTGGATTTCAGGGATCTGTGGCAAGAGTCAGGCCCTGCTGTAGCTGAAGGATGGAGACCCAGGGGCCTGACACACTAAAAAGGAGTTCAAGAAAGAGAGAGAGGTGCCACACAGTCTGCTTGCTCAGGCCTGGATGCCAAACAAGGTGTCTCCTGCTGTGAAAAGACACCATGACCATGGCAACTCTTTTTTTGTTTGTTTGTTTAATAATTTACTTAATTTTATTATATGTGCATTAGTGTGACGATAACAGATCCATTGGAATTGGCATTATAGACAGTTGTGAGCTGCCATGTGGGTGCTGAGAATTGAACCCAGGTCCTTTGGAAGAGCAGAGAGTGCTCTTAACCACTGAGTCATCTCTCCAACCCCCCCCCCTTTTTTTTGTTTGGTTTGTTTGTTTTTGAGAGAAGGTCTCTCTATGTAACTCTGGCTGTCCTTGGATTTGCTTTGTAGATCAGAGTGGCCTGGAATTCACAGAGATCCACCTGCCCTTGCCTCCCAAGTGCTGGGATTGAAGGGACCGTGGCAACTCTTAATAAGAAAAACATTTCATTGGGGCTGGCTTACACTTTCAGAGGTCTAGTTCATTATCATCATGGCAGGAAGCATGGCGGCACATTGGCAGACAGGGCACTGCAGAAGGAGATGATGAGGCTGACAGTTCCACACCCCAGTCTGCTGGCAGCAGGAAGAGAGAGACACTGGGCCTGGCTTGAGCATCCGAGACCCCAAAGCCCACCCCCTACTGACAGACCTCCTCCAATAAGGCCACACCCACTCAACAAGGCCACACCTCTTAACAACACCACTTCCTATCAGCCTATTGAAGCCATTTGCATTCAAAGCACCATGCGAGGGATGCTTTGAATGGAAGCATCCATTGCCTCGGAGCTCACACCTCCTGGCCTACTTGTTTCAGCTGCAATGCAAAGAACCAAGTTTCTATCAATAACAGCATGATAAACCATTTTAATGTGGCCATGGGTTGGTTCAGTGGCTACCCATAGCAGCCCTGTGTAGTTAGTGCTGTCATTCTTAATATATAAAAACATAAAGAGGGCATGCTCAAAAGGAAAAACATGATATTTTTAGAGCCACCATAATGTGGTAACATGTTTACAACCCTGGATCTGTCTGGTGATTGATTGCTTTTCTTTGACTGTCACAAACCTACATCTGCAGCCCCTGGAGAGTTCTTTCCTGGGAACATGTATCATCGTTTTGTACATATTTACATACACATGTACACACACATGTAGAAACACACACGTGTGCGCACGCATACACCTATGCATGCATGCACACATGCAAGCACGCAGGCACACTTCTTTTCTTTACTGGCCCAGAAAACGAACTTGGAGTCAATGTATGAAACCGCCCAAGGATAAGCCCTGAAAACTCTTACCCCAGACAATCTCCCTCAGCTTCTGGCTGGTGGGGCGGTCCTTAGCAGTCTTTGCTGGGCATGCAGCTAGGCTTGATCTGCAGGGAGGATCCCCGTGGACTCCCCCTCATCCCGGCAAGGTTTCCTCCAGGGCACTACAGCTCCCTTTTCTGTCAGGACTAGGCCCGGGTCCCATAAAGCCTGTGAAGGGTGCAGATTGGAAGTTGACTTCCCTCTCTTGTTGGGTGACAGATAGTCAAGGAGAAAGAGAAGACAGTGCCTAAGAAATACGCCATCAAGCCGCCCCGGGACCTGAGCAGCAGGTTTGAGCAGGAGCAGGAGGACAAGAGACTACAGGCAATTAAGGACCAAGAAGAGAAGCGGCTTAAGGACGAGGAAGATCGCCTCCTGGTGGGTCTCCCATGGCCTGCACCCTGGCCATGGCTGGTTACAGTAGGCCCAAGGGATAACATACCACAAGGCCTTCTCTGTAAGATTGACCAAAGCACGGCTTACCTGTAGAAGACATTGCCTTTCTTGGGATGAAAACTAATCCGCGTGCTGTCGCCCCGCAGAGAGAACCACAGATCGGGTCGGCCCCTCCCATTTTACTGGTTGAAACCTGGGGCTCCAAGGGAGGGCCGTTAGGGAGTTTCCCTTAGCTGGTGGTCACCCACCTTCCCTGTGCAGGCGGCGGAGAAGTCGAAGCCCGACCCCCTGCACGGCCTGCGGGTGCACTCCTGGGTCCTGGTGCTGGCCGGGAAGCGGGAGGTGCCCGAGTGCTTCTTCATCGACCCGCTGACGGGGCGCAGCTACAGTACCAAGGACGAACACTTCCTGGGCATCGAGAGCCTCTGGAACCACAAGAACTACTGGATCAACATGCAGGACTGCTGGAACTGCTGCAAGGTTCGTGGGAGCAGGCCGGGAGGTTAGAGACCAGGGGTGCGGACCGTGTGCACCTCCCCCACCCCCCACCCCGTTATAGCAGGGTCCTTCATGGTGGAGGTCCCAGGACCCACACCCCCGCCCATCAGGGACCGTTCTGGCAAGGTGAACTTCTCCAGTCCGTTGTGTGTGTCCTCTCTAACCCGCGGGCTGTGGGTCTGTGCGAATGAATGTGGGTAGGAGCATAGCACCCACGCAGGAATGCGGGTACGCTAAAGCTCTCTACACACCGCCCCTGAAGGCCCTGCTTCCTGCGCCCAGAACAAGAAGGAATAGGGCCCGTGCCTCAGAAGTCCTCTTGTGTCCTCCCTCTTCCCCTCCCAGATGCATACTTGTACTTTAAGGATATAAACAGCACGGCATGGGCTGTGTCGGTGGCTCAGTGGGTAAAAAATGTTTGCCCCCACCTTAACGACCTGAGGTAGATACCAGGGAGCTACACAGTGGAAGGAGAGAACTGACTCCTGAAAGTTGTCCTGTGAGCTGCACATTCACACCACAACACACACACACACACACACACACACACACACACACACAGGTGCGCAATCCTACGTGCACATCTTACTGGATTAGTTTGTGATAAGGAACTCCCCTACATAGCCAGGACCTGGCCCTTCCCATCCAGTAACGGCTCCAGCCACAAGCTCAATGGTAGAACAGGAGCTTAGCATTTATGAGGCTTGGGGTGATCCCCGACACTACAAAAATGGGAGAAAAATTCATTTGTATAAACCAACACTCTTCACTTGAGATGTCATGGGGGGGGGGGGGGGCAGTCGAGGCAGGTGGGGTCAGCTACGGGAAGGAGCCTGTGCTGACTTCCTACAGGGTTGATCAGTTTACCCTGATTTAACACAGTTCATCAGTTGAGTCAAGCAGTGTGTGTTTAGACTGGTTGTCACGGAGATGTGTGTTAGATCCGCCGTTTTCTGCGTGCAGTGTTTTGTTCATCCATCCCCTGTTCTTGGGGCGCGCCGGAACCTGCTTTTCTACGTCAGAGTGGCACGCTTAGACCCTTCCCAGCGTGGGGCTGCTTGGAGTAGTGCTACAGTGAGAGCATTCCCTACCTGCATTTCAGTGAACACACACAGTGGCTTCTGCTGGGTCAAGACTCAGGGGAGTCTTTCTTCATTTCAGCAGCAGCTCCTCCCCATTGGCAAGGATGACTGCACCGACCTATAGCCCCTACCCCAGCTCTAAGTGACAGTCTGGGCACCCCTGCCCTCCTTGCCAACACTCAACATTTGTTTGGGAGAGTTTGAGATGGGGTCTCGCTCTAGGCCGGGGGGCCCCCGGAACCACGGTCTTCTGCCTCAGCCTCCCGAATGCTGAGATTACAGGTGCGCACACCGGTGCCTGCCTGGTTTCCCCACTTTCCATAGAAGGTGGTGTTGAGCTGTTTTAAAGCTACAGTTACCTGTTGCAGATTGTCCTCGCATCCAGGAAGTTTAAAACCTGCTTATGAACTCTAAAAATCAAAAAGAATTTGGGGTTTTTCTATCTCCGTGATCACTTCTAATCTGAATTGATATTGTTTCTTCCTTGAAGACATCTGAGTCTCTGCGTAGCCTTGGGTGTCCTGGAGCTTACCCTGTAAACCAGACTGACTTGAACTCTGAGATCTGCCTTCCAGGCCTGGGATCAAAGGGGTGTGTCACCATGCCCAGCTCTTCCTGGAATGTTTCAAATCACACATTCAGTTTGGATAATTTGTTTATTTTGGCAGTGCTAAGGATGAACTCCAAACCAAAATATTTCAGGCAAATGCTCTAGCATCAAGACACATACACACACACAGCCCAGGGCATTTTTTCTTGAGTGAGTTCTGGTAGTTTCTGTCTTTTGGAAACATTTTTTTCCTTTCATTTAAGTGTTCAAATTATTGCTATAAAATGTTAAAATAGCTTCTTATTTTCCTTTTAATATTTAGAGTTCATAGTGATGGAATCTGCTCCCAGTCTCGAGACTAATGGTGTATATATATGTTTCCCCTAATGAAATCTCACAAAGATCTGCCTGCCTCAGTTTCCCTGAGTGCTGGGACTACAGGAGTGTGCCACTGTGCCCAGCTGTTTTCTATATTTTAAAGTTCTTGACATTACCCAAATGCTGGATTATCATGTTGGATTTCTTTGTTTCTTTTATTGGTGTTTGCCTCAAATATTCTAAAGATGTGAATTTAGTGAACAAACATTTAAGATTATAATTTTTTTTTTCAAGACAGGGTTTCTCTGTGTAGCCTTGGCTGTCCTGAACTCACTTTGTAGACCAGGCTGGTCTTGAACTCACAGACCTCTGCCTTGCAGAGTGCTGGGACTACAGGCATGCACCACCACACCTGACTCTCATGCCTTCTTCATAAATTGACCTCTTTGTATTGTAAATGCCTACCTTTACCCCACCAGCATTTTTATCCTGGTATCTATTTAAAATCCACAAAGATAGTTTCTCTGGCTTTCTTCTGGTTTCTGTTAGCATGGACTCTCTTTGCCTTTTAAACAAAACTCTATTTGTATATTCTAAATTTAAGTGTGTATCGCTGGGCCTTTCCTTTATCTATTTGACAGTCTTAGCCTCTTGATTATGGTGCTTAGACCATTTCACTTACTATGATTTTTTTTAATAAAATTAGGTTCATGGGTATTATTTTTCTATATAAATGCTCAAATTTGAACCTTTTAAAAATCTTAATTGAAAATAGATTTTTAAACTGGGCATGGTGGTACACATTTTTAATTCTAACACTCAAGGGGGAGAGGCAGGAGGATCTCTGTGAGTTGGAAGCCAGCCTGGTCTACATAGTGAGCTCCAGAACAGCTAGGACTACATACTATTTCAAAAATAAATAAAATTTTTTCATACAATATATTCTGATTATGGATGCCCCTCCCCCAGCTCCTCTCAGATCCTCCCTACCTCACCACTCACCTAAATCTGCACATTTTCTCTCTCTAATTACAACAGACAGGCAATAATAATACTGATAATAATAATAATAGAAGTTAAAATTAAAACAAACCAGCACAAAACAAACAAAAAATGAACAAAACAGAAGAAAAAGCACAAGAAACACATACAAATGTGCATACATACATACACATGTGCAGAAATTCCATAAAAAACACCAAACTAGAAACTATACTTTATAAGCAAAAGACCCATAGTGTTAAAAAAAAAAAACCCGAACAATAACAACAAAACAAAACAAAACGAACAAAAACCAAAGCATTATCAGACCCTCCAAAAATATCATTGAGTTCATTTTGTGTTGGCTGCCCACTGCTGGGCATGGGGCATGGGGCCTGCCCTAAGTGTGGTTTGCATACCCAGTGAGACATCATTGGAGAAGTCTAGTTTTTCATTCATGAGCACAGTTCTGTGTTTCACTTGTGTATGTGTATGTGCGTTGCTAAAAATTACATCTGAAAAAATTTTTTAGAGATAATTGAATACCTAGATGCTTTAATCTTTCTGAAGAGATGTTGGGTGAGATTATGGTAGGAAAAGAGAAGATCTAGCAATCCTGGATGACCTTAACTCAGCCTTTCTGTTATCTTTACTCCTTTGATGTGGTCCATCAGAATCCCAGTGCAGCCTGGGAGATTTGCTGCCTTTTTCTCTTTGGAGAACTCAATATCCTCCAAAGAAATCCAAAGAGGATTTCTGCCCCTTAGTACTATAGGTAAACTGAAGGCTTCTTCTTCTTCTTCTTCTTCTTCTTCTTCTTCTTCTTCTTCTTCTTCCTCCTCCTCCTCCTCCTCCTCCTCCTCCTCCTCCTCCTCCTCCTCCTCTTCCTTCTTCCACTAAGTCACAGTCCAAGCTAGCCTTGAACTTACTGTATAATCGGGATGACCTTGAACAGCAGAACTTCAGACTTTCTTGCCTCCAACTCCCAAATGTTGGGATTACAGGCATGTGCCACCATGTCTAGTTTATGTGGGTCTGAGGATGCGTGCCAGGGCCTCATACATGTTAGACAAGCATTCCACCAACTGAGCTACATCTCCATCTCTCCCAGAAGCTCTTCGTAACTGCTTTGGACCCATGACCAGAGAAAAATCCCACAAACTAGAAACATCTTTCAGGCTTTTTTTTTTTTTTTTTAATGAATCTTGGCTTAAGTTTTTTCCCCCAGTGGTAGATGGAACCTGGGCCTCACATGCTAGGTGAGCCCTCTACCACTGAGCTACATTCCCAGCACAGCTTCTTAATTATTGTGATTCTTCTTGTTTGTTTTTGAAACAGCATCTTCCTTTATAGCCAAGGTTGGCCTTAAACTTACAATCCTCCTGCTTCGGCCTCCTGAACGGTAGAGTCATAGGTCCATCATTGTGCCCAGCTCTCATGGGTCTACTTGTGGGGAAGAAATGTTTAAATGTGGATTGACACAAGGGGAATGCGGGGGAAGACTGCAGTCAAGGGACAGATATGTGACTAACTCATCTGGTGGGGTCATCTTGCATGGAAAAGTGGCAATTTTGGGAGGGGAAGCAGTGTGGTTAACTTCTCCAGGAAGCATCTGCTGTGTGCCAGGTCCTGTACCCAGCCTAGGAACACACAGCAAATGGCACAGAGCAGGTCCTTTAGACACTTCCTGTCCAGGGGAAGGGGAAAGCAACAAGCCACTGGCATTGAGCTCAGGCTTCAGGCCTCCATGTCCCACGCTCTGTTGCTATTCTCAATGTCCCCTATTCCTGACTAGATAGAACCAGTTGCAATGTGCCTATCCAAGAGATACTGTGGCCCCTTGGGGGCCAGGCAGGGAGGATATGCTTCCACTAGGTGACCAGTAAGTCTGTGTCTATAAGTAGAGGTTGAATTCCTGGAATCCAGAAACATGTGTTTCAGCACCCTGCCTAACTCATGGCCTGACTCTGGAGCCCTCAGTCCTTTTTTTTTTTTTTTTTACCCTCAGGGAGAAACCATGCTCAGAACATGCTTGTATTAGGTTCTGGGCATTTTACAAGTATCAGCTTTGTTACCTCGTATGACAGATAAGGAAACTGACGTCCAGATGAACGAAATTTATAACCGCAGTACACAGATGACGCGGAGTCAGAACTGCCTTTCCCAGGGCCAGGCTCACAGTGTGCCTATGCTCTGCGTCCCAGAAGGACAGCATCTCTTCAGAGGTGGAAGTGGTCCTCCAGCCCGCAGTTCCCCCCTTGTTCTTTGAACTCCCACCACTATTGTGGTGCACACCACACCAGTGCCATGGGAAGGACATTTATGGTAAGGCAGAGGGGGGCCAGGGAACCAGTGCTGAATCACATAAGGGCATGGAAGAAGAGACCACGACACTGGCCAGTGCGGACGCTGCTAAAATAGCACTGGGACTTTGTTCCCTCTGAGAACCTTGCTTGGCACTGGGGGTCAGGGAATGGGGCAGCATCCTCACAGAGAGCAAATGCTCCTGGAATGTGGGGTGCAGCCACTGTCTGCCTGTTCTCTTCTTTAGAGACAGAACATGGCATAAAAGCAAGAAAGCGTGTGTGACTACTGCTTGCCACTGAGAAAAGTGACAGGGTTTAGTAGAGATAAAATGATATGTGACCATCTTCACAGTAAGCTCTTCCTCGTTAATCTTTCCCCCCAGTCACTGCTACATCTGGAAACCTTCCTCCTCTCCCTCCCTCCCTCCTGTTATGTCTACTTCTCTATCCCAGCTACCAGACAGGGAACAATACAGAGGAGCCTCTTGGGACAGCACAGGGAATCCATGACCTGGGCCACCTCAGGACGGATGGATGCTCAGTCTCCTCTGAGCAATTTTTCTTCAGGCTTTGATCTCCCACTAGAACATGTCACCTGGGGAGATGACCCTGAGGACTGGGGGCAGATGGACAGAACCACAACCCCTTGCTTAGTGCCTGTGTCTGCCACCAGGAAGTGCTGCCATCTAGGTTCTGAAAGAACAAACCTTCTTTGACTTAAAATTCTGGAGACTGGAAATCCGGGACTGAGGTCCTGGAAGGTTTGGTTTCTCCTGAAGTCTCTTGTATCCTCCTAAGTCCCGAGTAGCAATTGGCTCCTGATTTCTGGCTCCTGGCTTCCTGCCCAGGGAAAACAAAAAGAAAAAAAAAAAAAGAAGGAGGCTCACTTTAAGCCAGTCATTTCCTAATAATTTGCCTGCTTAGAAATGCTCTGTACTGACATGCAACACCCTCATGTGTATACAGACTGTCCCCAGCAGGGGGCACTGATGAGTCTCTTCTGCACAGAGGATTTCTTGGGAAATGGGATGATGGGATGGGAGTGGGCTTGAGTTTCCCTGTTGAGATGAAGAATGTGTCTGGACTCTTAAAGGCTGGATAGAGCTGACATTCCGCACAGCCCCTACCTACTGGCCTCTGGGAACAGCCATCTCCCTAGGAGCAGGCACAGTCATGAGGTTGGGGGTGGGGTACGCACTCAGTTGGTTCTGTCTCCATCAGGATTTGGTCTTTGACCTGGGAGATCCTGTGAGATGGGAGTACATGCTCTTGGGGACCGACAAGGCTCACCTGTCCTTGACTAATGAAGATGATGAAGGAATGGATGATGATGATGACGACGATACAGTGAGTGGTAGCAGGAGGGTGGGTTAAGAGGCTTCACCCTGTTTTGCATCAGGCAGCCTGACAGATGTCCCTGAAAACACATGCATGTGTGGGGAAAGTCTAGATGTAGCAATTATACATTCTTCAAAGCAGAGAGGTCTTGTAGAGCCCTCACTTTACAGATGGGTAAACAGAGGCCCAGGCATGTCTAGTGACCAGCCCAGAACCTTCCGTTAGGTTAGGGGAGGGACAGTACTTGAGTTCAGTCTCTCCCATCTGGAGAGTGGGGTTCCTTAGAGACCACATCTCTTTGGAGCAGGAGTCCCAGGGCATGCCACTCTGCCCGCTCCTGCTTTGTCGCCCTTGTGATTGTCTATCAGACAGGCCTTTCCTTTCTGTCCTGCCTGAGGTCCTGTGTGAGAAGTCAGAGACTAGGAGCCCAGGGGCCTTAGGCAAATGCCCCTGCTTTGGGATCTTCCATTCCTCCCTTACAGGTAAAACTAGGTGAGGGTCACAATCCGTGTTTGGTATCAGTAGCAACAATAACAGGGTATCAGCCCATTAGCACTACCATAAGAAAATTCTACTGACTGGGAGCCCCATGCTCCTGGAGGCTAGAAAATTTTGGATCAAAGGAGCTGGCGGGACTGGTTTCTTTCCAGAGCCTCTGGGTTTCCTGATGGCCATTAATGTGTTTTATCTGGCCTTCTCTCTGCTAAGCTGTGTCCCAAATCCTCTGTCTCATAAGAACTCTTAGCATATTGTGATAGGACCACATAAAGACCCCAGTTAGACTGCACTGCCTTATCTGTAAAGTGCTGACTTCCACATGCAACTGGGTTCATAGGGACCAAGGGTGAGGGCTTTGGCATGTGACTTTTATAGCCCAATACCAAGGAAGGCTGAGCTGAGGGACAGGCTCTGGTCTTGGTGTGGAATCTTGGTCTACCCATTTAAATCTCTGCCACCTGGGAAGCTGAGGACAACTTGAATACAGCAGGGCAAAATGAGACGCCAAAGGACACCCCCTGTAACCAAGAGAGCTAGGAACCAAACTTGAACAGTCTCGCCACATGTCGAGGTCCCCAGCTCTGAGGGCTGCCTGAGAGTGACCGAGGCCACCCTGTTCTCCAACTCATTTCTGAGCTCTGGCACCCCTGCGGGCTGTGGGCACGGGTCAGCCGTGTGTAGGGAATGCAACATGGGAACATCCTTAAACCTAGGACCCTGCTTCCTCTGGCAGCCCTGTCACTTCCCTGCAAGGAGAATCCCTTTTTCCTCCAGTATGGACAGGACATGATACACCCTGAGAGTCCGCACTCGGCTGTGGGTCCAGACACAGCCCAGGGTTTCCCGGGCTGTCTCAAAAAGGTTGCCCCCTGCTGACTGACCACCCTGTGTGTCCCCGAAGGAAGTCACAATGAGATGAGCAACCCTCTAGGATCCGAGCATTGTTTGTGGCAGAAAGTGTACACACAGAGAGCCCTAAGTCTGATTTGAGGATCAACTGTTTAGAGCAAGACTTATTTCACAGATGGATAAAGGACAGCCTTGCAGAGCGCCAAGCCCTATTCATGACAGCCTTTAGTTCTCCCAAGAGGCCCAGGTACAGCTAAGGAAACCCAGACTTGGAGTGGATGAAGAACTTGCCCAGTCCTCCTTATCTGGTACTGGTATAGCAAAGGGTATGGCCCCCTCTGACACAGGATCCCTGAGTAGCCATCATGGCTGTAGGTGGTTTGGTCAAAAGGTTGCGGTTATGAGAGCAGGTACTACTATTGTTGTAGATAAAATTGGTGTTGGGCTATAAAATGTTTATCATTTGGCTATAATTATTATAGCAGTATTATTTAACATGCTATCACAATTAATAAGACATAGACACCTGTTAGATGTTCTAATTGCTTTATTTACCTTGAGCTGGGCAGATATTTCACTTACGTTGCCTCAACAACTTCACCATCTGCCTGCCAGCCCCCATCCAATGCCATCCGCCTTAACCACCCTTATCTGAGCTACCTTCCATTCATAATCCCAACATACTTGCTTATATTTTCTAGTCTTGGTGTTTTCTCCATCCATGCCATCCTTGGAGAGTCCTTACTCCTGGCCCACGTGGTTCCTTCTCTGTGCTAACTCATTGTGGTATCCTCCTGCCTCCTCTCTTTTCATCTGTCTGTCTGTTTCCCATGATTCTCCTGTTCCCAAAACCCCAGGAACCTTAGCTATGCCTATTGCATCCTACCCTGCCCAGGTTTTAGGCCTTTTAATCAACCAATTGGGAGTAATGTCTTAGGCAGGTTTACACAACAAGGATAGGTAGTAACCAGATCTTGAGGGCCAAGTATTTAGCATCAAAATACAAGCATCAGACAAAAACCCAACACATCTTAGACCAGGCAATTAGGGTATGGGCTCTGCCCAAGATGTCTCCTCCTCTGTCCTATCCTGGATCATCTCCTGACTTCTGGCTCTTCGGAGAAACTGATAGCCCCCTTAGCAAATCTGGATCTGGGGTAGGGGACAGAACTGTGCCATGGCCTCTGCTCCAAGGCCCTGGCCAGCAACCACCTCCTCTCCCCACAGGTCAAAGAGGAAGATGATAAGAGCTTCGACATGCCACCTTCATGGGTCTCCCCGATTGAGATCACCCCGGATGGTCTGTCATTTGCTGGTTCCCAGCCCACAGGCAGTTCTGTGACCACAGCTCAGCAGAGGGGCCACAGAGGCTTCCTGGGCCCTCATTTCCACCCTTCTCAATACCCTGCCAGTTCTGTGCCCAAGGCTTGACACCATCTGGCACACAGCTGGACTGCTAACATCATGACCACCAAGGCCTGGGACATAACATCTCTTCTTCTCTCATACCCCCTGTTCAGAGAAGACCATAGACAGCACATATAGTATGTGGTGTAAGGAGGTCAGGCCCCAGGAGGCATGGGCAAAGAAGGAAGGAGAGTGGGTTACCTTTTGCCACATGTCTACATATGCCCGCCTGCAAATGCCCAGACCCAGAAGAAGGGCACAGGGTGTTCCATCAGGTGGCAAAGTGCTAAAGAAGTGGTCATGAACCCTAGGGCAGGAGCACCCACTACAGCCTAGATAAAGGAGGAGGCAAAATGGGTCTTAAAAAATAGGGGTCACTGGGGCTGGGTGTCATTCCAGCACAGTGTTCTCACTGGCAAAGATCTGGCAGAGGTAAGGGGTGGCTGGATCACAGACAAGAGTCTCGGGTAGCTCTGGGATTCTGGCTAGCCCAAGGGTAGCTTGGGCAGATTTGAAGTCAGCACTGGTGACTATTTTCTTCCTCCCTGGAGCTGGTTGTGGGCCCAGAGGCACTTTATAGGCAATGCAGAGGGTGGATGAGTGGCCAGGAAGGGTGGAAGGAGAGACGAGAGACGCCGGCCCCCTCTGCATCCACAGAGTTTGAGACCCGGTGCCCCAGTGGGAAGAAAGTGATTCAGTACAAGAAGGCACAGGTGGAGAAGTGGTCCCCGTACCTCAACAGCAACGGCCTGGTGTGTCGCCTCACTACCTATGAGGACCTACAGTGTAAGCACGGGCTGGGTTGGGGACAGCCCAGTGTTGCGCTGGGTGACTCTGCCCACATCACTTCTACCTGCCTGGTGTCTGCGTGGCACAGGCCAGACGAGCTGGGCTGCCTGCAGCAACCGTCTTTGGGTCCCCACAGGCACCAAGGTTCTGGAGGTAAAGGAGTGGTACCAGAACCGGGAGGATATGCTGGAGCTGAAGCACATCAACAAGATCACAGGCCTGCATGTGGACTACTTCAAGCCGGGCCATCCTCAGTCTCTGCGTGGTACGTGGATCCCATCACAGGGCAAACCAAGAGGCCTGGGGGGAGGGGCTTACAGGTAATGGCGGGGATGGGGAGAACCAGCCCCAGCTATCAAGGAGGTCCTTGGGTGGCAAACAGGAACATTGTCTCTACCTCTGTAAAGTAATGAGGTGTGCAGACAGCCAAGGAAGCTCAGAAAAGGAAGATCTGGTGACCAACGGCTTTCTAAGGAAAGTCAAAGCCATGGCCACGCGCTGTTCTGTGGCTGAGATCGGGCCGGAGTCTCCACCAGTGGGTACATGGTGTGGGTCATATGTAAAGGGTCTAAGAATGCTGGGCAGTAAAGCCAACCACCACCACCAAGGGCAAAGGCGGGAGCAGAGGGCTACTGCTAGGAGTCCATGCGCTTGGGAAGAGAGAAAAGAAAGACTCCGCCTTCTGAGATCCATATCCTGCCCCACACATCAGCAGAGGAAAGTCTGGAGCCAACGAACACATGGAGATACATCATCCAATCATCCACATTTGGGAGTTTTGGCTTTCAAGATTAAACCAACAAGGGGCCACACTACAGCCTTTGTGTGGGCAGATTATCCTAACCTGATGTGTGTGCTAGGGGTTGAAAGCAGCAGAAAGTTGTTCCCTGTTGATAACGGCGGGTAGTTCTCTGCTGCAGAATAATTGAGCTAAATGTGTTAATACTATGGAGATGTGGCTCAGTGGTAGGACACATGCTTAGCATGCCGGAGGCCCGGTGCTTCATCTCTAACAGCAACAATAATGGCCTTAAAACGTGAGCAAGTTTTTGACCCAGTAACTCCTCTGATAAGAGTTTGTTCTTAGCAAAGACTGAGCAAGAACCATAAATTATGATATAAATGTTCATCACCGTGTTGTGTTATAAAAACAAAGAATCAGACGTAACCGAAATACCCAGGAAGTGGGGATTTGCTACCTGGCTGACACTCATGTGTACAGGAACGCTGCCACAGCTCCTGGTGCTCACCTGGATCCTTCCATCTCTCCCCCCTACCCCCACAGTGCACTCCTATAAGTCTATGCAGCCTGAGATGGACCGAGTCATGGAGTTCTATGAAAACATCCGTGTGGACGGCCTGCAAAAGCGGGAGGAGACCCCCTTAACAATGACAGAGTACTTCCAGGGGCGCTCAGACTTCCTGTCCTATCGCCACATTATCTTTGGACCCAGAATTAAGAAGCTCACCCCGAATAGCGCAGACTCCAACCCAAGACCCGTGGTGGTGAGAGCCCTGTACTTGGGCTGGGGGCCTGTCCGGCTGCTCTGGCAGATAGAGCAGGTCATCAGGACCAGGGGAAGTCCTGATTCGGGGATGGTACTAATGCCTGCGCTTTTGCCAGGATTCTAAATGTGAAACAAGCACTTTAAACAAGCAGACCCCTGGGCTTGCTAGGGCTAAGCTGTGTCCCCAGCTGCTAGGAAAACAGAGCACTGTTTCCTCATTGTAATGAACAAACACACACTTATGACCAGGCATGTAATGATGTCTCTCCAATATTACTGTAGGTTTGTTCTTAGCTGGACAGTTAAGCCCTTGATTAATTGAGAGGTGGTGGCTGAAGGATGAAAAATTTAAGGCAAGGCAGGGCCTAGTGGTACACACCTTTAATCCCAGCATTCAGGGAGGCAGAGACAGGCGGATCTTTGTGAGTTCAAAGCCAGTGTGGTCTACAAATCAAGTCCCAGGGCTACACAGAGAAAGTCTGTCTTGAGAAACCAAAACAAGAAAGAAAGAAAGAAAGAAAGAAAGAAAGAAAGAAAGAAAGAAAGAAAGAAAGAAAGAAAGAAAGAA